CCGTTACTGCAGCAAAGAGGACTCTGAAGGAGAACTTTGTCGTGACGGAGATTCATCCATCTTATAACCTCATTATGGGGAGAGGTTGTATCCATCGTATGAACGGAGTCCCCTCTACCCTTCATCAAGTAATGAGGTGTTTATCCCCATATGGCAGGGAAGTCATCGACCTCTGGGGAGACCAGGTGGCTGCAAAAGAATGTTACATGCTAACGCTATATGAAGCAAAGAAGGCGTCGAAATCACCTCAGTTAGAGGCGAATCCCAAAGACGCAATCAAATAGCAGTTACAGTATCCTCTGCCCAAGTATCTCAAGGCAGAGGAAGAAGCCGAGGCTGAAGCACCTACCGAGGAGTCCCTCGAAGCTATAGAGGTAGTCTTCGGAGACCCTCAGAAGGTCACCTACATTGGCTCATCTTGCACAGCCGAAGAGAAGGAAGCATTGATCAGGGTCATTCGGTGCAATTCGGATATCTTTGCTTGGATCACTCGGACATGGTGGGGATCGATCCTATGGTCTCATGCCATAGTTTGAGGGTTAACCCAGAATTCAGGCCAGTCAAGCAGAGGCACCGACGGTTCGCACCTGAACGGAATCACATAATAGCCGTTCAAAAGAAGAATGGGAAATGGAGGGTATGCGTAGATTATACCAACCTTAACAAAGCTTGCCCAAAAGATAGCTTCCCTTTGCCCAAGATTGATCAAATGGTGGATGCTACGACAGGTTATGAGAGGCTCACATTCCTCGATGCATACTCCGGCTATAATCAGATTCCCATGAATCCTGAAGATGAGGAGAAAACCGCTTTCATCACAGAGACGGGCACTTACTGCTACAGAGTGATGCCCTTCGGTCTAAAGAATGCCAGAGCCACCTACCAGCGACTTGTCAATAAAATTTTCAATAATCTACTGGGGAATACAGTTGAAGCCTATATCGACGATATGGTGGTCAAAAGTATACGGAAAGAGGACCACCCGAAGCACCTCCAGGAGGTCTTTGATACTCTCAAGAGGTACAATATGAAGCTGAACCCCACCAAGTGCTCCTTCGCCGTCTCGTTAGGACAGTTCCTCGGGCACATTGTAAATAAAAGAGGAATAGAAGTAAGCCCAGCTCAGGCAAAGGCACTCATATAGAACCAAGAGCCAAAAACCCACAGGGAAGTGCAAGTTCTAACCAGCCGAATTGCGGCTCTCAGCCGGTTCATATCCCGATTATCTAATAAGTATAAACCTTTCTTTGATGCTATTCGATCCAAAAACAAAGATATGTGGGGACCTCAGCAGCAGGAAGCTCTCAATCAATTGAAAAGCTACATGACAAAACCCCCAATCCTTTCTGCTCCAGCGCCCGGAGACACTCTCATCCTATACTTGGCAGTATCAGCTCTAGCAACAAGTGCAGTGTTGATCAAAGAAGGAGGCAAGGTTCAGCACCCAATCTTTTACACAAGCAAAACGATGACAAATGCCGAGACACGGTACAGCAAGATGGAAAAGGTAATCCTGGCGTTAATTTATGCCAAGAGGAAACTTCGACATTACTTCGAGTCTCACAGCATAGTGGTACTTACAAATCACCCTATACGGGCTATCCTAGCTAAACCAGACTTGTCTTGTCGAATTACAAAATGGACTATTGAACTTAGCTCTTTTGATATCACCTATGCACCGAAGGTATCTCACAAGGGGCAGTCAGTAGCGGATTTCCTACTAGAGTATGAAGATCAATCTGAGGAACCGACACTTCAAGAGCCGTACTGGGAGTTACGGGTTGATGGCTCTTCCAACCAGAAAAGGGCAGGGGCCGGGATTGACATCATAACACCCGAGGGTACCAAGCTGCAGCAGTCAATTTTGCTGGATTTCCCAGCTACTAATAACGAGGCTGAGTATGAGGCGTTACTTGCATGACTTCGGCTAGCTAAACAGCTACAGGTACGGTGTTTAAAAGTTTTTAGTGACTCACAGCTTGTGATCAATCAAGTGACAGGGCACTATTATCCCAAGGAGGAACGTATGAAGTCATACAAAGATGCTATAGAGAGTGCCATCCGGGAGTTCGATCAAATCAAATTCCATCAGGTACCACGAGATGAAAATGCCGAAGCAGATCGATTGGTCGCAGCTGCATCATCTTCAGACGAAGAGTTGATTCGGCTTGTTCCAATCGATGTTCTCAAAGAACCCAGCATTAATCCCTGGCAAGAGGTGATAGTAATCCCGGAAGTTCCACGTGAGCCATGCTGGATTGATCCAATCGAGGCCTACCTTAAGGAGGGAGTTCTCCCAAATCAAAAAGCTGAGGCAAGGAAGCTTAGGCTTACCGCGGCTAAGTACTCAATCATCAATAACCAGTTGTACCGAAGGTCATTCTCCGGTCCTTATCTCAAGTGTTTAACCCCCACTGAGGCTCTCACAATTCTAAAACAAATTCATGAAGGAGATTGTGGAAATCACTCGGGAGGAAGATCCCTTGCACACAAAATTCTAACCCAAGGTTATTTTTGGCCATACTTGGCTCTGAATGCCGAAGAATACTCAAGAAGATGTGACAAGTGTCAGCGCCATGGTCCAATAAAGCATCAACCTGCCGAAGGTTTGCACGCCATGGATAATCCATAGCCGTTCGCCCAATAGGGGATTGATGTAGTAGGACCATTACCCAAAACCATGGAAAAAAAGGAGCATGTGCTTCTGGCTACGGATTACTTCACCAAGTGGGTGGAAGCTGAAGCCTTCTGTAGCGTCACCCACGAAGAAGTAAAGCATTTCATTTGGAGCAACATTATTTGCCGGTTTGGGGTACCAAAATTCATCGTAATGGACAATGGTAAGAACCTCGATAACAGAAGTACAAGAAAGTTCTTTAGCGAACATGGAATCCTGCAAAAATTGGCTGCAGTTAGTCATCCACAAGGCAATGGGCAAGCTGAAATAACTAATCGCACGATATTTGGGTGCTTAAAGAAAAAATTGGAGAAATTGAAGACAAAATGGTACGAGAATCTCCCTCAAGTGCTCTGGGCATATCGAACCACTCCAAGACGACCCACAGGAGAAAGCCCATTTGCTATGGCATATGGATCCGAAGCTGTCATTCCTACCGAGTCCATAATCCCAACCCTTCGGACATCCTTGGTACTGGAAGGGAACAATGAGTAACAACTCAAACATAGCCTTGATCTTGTGGACGAAAGGAGAGATGCAGCAGCAATTCGGCTCACGGCATACCAACAGCAGGTGTGTAACAGTTATAACAAACGCGTCAGATTCAGGAGCTTTGTGGTAGGCAATTGGGTTTTGAAGCAAGAGACAGCTCATGTAAAGAAACTGGAACCTAATTGGACCGGACCCTACAGGGTTACCGAAGTAGTGGGGAAAGGAGCATATCGTTTGGCCGAAGCTGGCGGACGTCCCATTGCGCGTCCTTGGAACGCAATACACCTTAAAAGGTATTTCCATTAGTTAAGTTTGTCAATTTTGCTGCCAATTCTTCACAAATAAGGCTGAGTATGTCCACAGTCAGCCAAACTTTTCTTTATTTTGCTTCTATATTCAGTACAACTCTACTCTATTTATTTCTTTCTATAAAAATGGGGGCTATACTACTCTGATTATGCAACTTTATGCATGCGTCGCATTAGGCAATTTTTATGCATGCCAAGTCGCACTATGCAATTTTTATGCAATTAGAAGCAAGCTGCTAAAAAGCATTCTTCACAATGATTTTTAAGAAAAAAATAAACATGAGTTATGGCCTATGTTTAAAACTTTCTATCCCACATCGACAAAAAAGTATGTGCTACATTCTGTTATATATGGGAATATTCAAATAGTTAATTACGGTGTAAGGAGGGCCCACTGGCATTTAAGGCTGTCAAACTCGATACCAGAGGCATTCCTTACACCGACCTTTTTGACAAAATTTAGTCTATATCCCACATCGGATAGAAATAGAAAAGAAATGCGGTTCATATATGCGTGGTCCACAACATTTGGTTGCCAAGAAGGGAGTATCAGTGGAGGAGGAAAGTCTCCAAAGTCAACAAATAGGAAACTTCACAGCTACTGTTACTCGCTTTCTTGGCCTCTTATCATTTTTGAATCCTCGGCCTCATGATAAGTTGTTTAAGAAAAAATATAAACAAACTTCCCCTCAGGCTCAGCGCTGGGGAGTAGTTCATTCGCCTCGGACCCTAAGTGTCCGGTTCGGCAAAACATCCCCTCAGGCTCAACGCCGGGGAGTAATTCATTTAACCTCCCCTCAGGCTCAGCGCCGGGGAGTAGTTCGTTCGCCTCGGACCCTAAGTGTCTGGTTCGGCAAAGCGCCGGGGAGTAGTTCATTAGCCTCGGATCTTGAGGGTCCGGCTCGGCAAAACCTCCCCTCTGGCTCAGCGCCGGGGAGTAGGTCATTCGCCTCAGACCCTAGGTGTCTGGCTCCGCAAAAATCTCGTCTCGGACCCTAAGTGTTCGACTCGGCAAAAATCTCGCCTCGGACCCAAAGTGTTTGGCTCGGCAAAAATCTCGCCTCGGACTCTAAGTGTCCGGCTCGGCAAAACCTCCCCTCCGGCTCCACGCCAGAGAGTGTTTAATTCGCCTCGGATCCTAAGTGTCCGAGACAGCTTCGGACCCTAAGTGTCCTATTCAGCACTATTCCTCCACGACTCAGTGCCGAGGGACAATTCGCCTCGAATCCTATGTGTCCGAGACAGCTTTGGACCCTAAGTGTCCTATTCAGTAATATTCCTCCACACTCAGTGCCGAGGAATAATTCGCTTCAGACCTCTGGTGCCCGGATCAGGACTCTTTCCTCCAGACTCCAAGTGTTTAATACCCCGTGGATGTGGATATATCATAAGTTCATCATGATCCACCCCACATCAGGAACACACGAGAAGGAAAGAGTATGTATACGTCTACTGCAGGCAAGTAAAAGGCAAGGAGAGTTCACTTAACAGTTAAATCATTGTCCATATGAATCATCCTGAGATATCAACTAAACTGTTAAAAGGATCTCCTTCTTCCCACCATCCTTGCTTTTTCTCGGATAGCATAAATCCGAAGCATAAAGACAATGTGTTTTGTTTAAACACATTACCAGTCAGAAAAATATGAACAGTATCAAAAGCATACAGCAAAAACAAATCAGGTATTGAAAGCCTAAAACAAAAAATTATATTCATTATCCCAAACATACTGTCAATAAAAACAAAATACATGGTTCTACTTCCTCTTCAGATCGAAGGGAGTAGATTCAAAAGCATCCACTACAGTAGGACTTGGGGTAGGAGGAATTGATGCCGCAGGGGCAGAAGAGCTAGGAGTACCCTTCAGGTGCGCCTTCACCATCTCGGCAAAGCGGATTTCAGCTTCCAAAGCCTCTGGCCCTTCATCATATGGGAAGTGCACCCCCACCTGCTTGTCAAAAGCGTCTGGATCCATCGTCCTAGGGCCTGAGCCCTGATTATAGCCAGACCGGAACGCTTTAGCACTAACCAGGTGTGCTAGACAGGAGTAGCGCCCCTGCATTTGCTTCCCCGCCTTGAAGCAAGTAGTAAGAGCCTCGGTCAGGCGTTGAACTTCGGCCTGAAGAGAATCCACCTTAGTCTCAGAGGCTGCCAATTGCCTCTTATACACATCCTTGGCTTCAGAAGCTATCTTCAGATTGGTAGAGGCAGTGGTGGCCCTCTTCTCTGCATTGTCAAGATCCTTTTCTAGCTTCTTGATAGAGAGGGATTGGGCTTCAGCAGTGGCGCAGAGGGCCATGGTGTGGTATAGACTCTGTATAACAGAGGAACAAATATGAGCATAAATGGAAACATAAGCAAGCAAGAGTAACATAATTCTGAAGGAGCAATGCAAACCTCTATGGCCCGGACCGGGGCAGAGGGGAGTAGTTGTTCCAACCCCCTTTGGCTGATGGCTTCCTCGTTCTTTGGGAGCCACATCCCTCGAGCCACCGCCAGTGCAGCTGAAGGGTTTGTGATCACAGAATCCCCTGAATGCAGGACTGACTTGTCAGCCCTGGTGAAGGAAGGAGTCCAAGGAGCCCCAGTCTCAGCCAGAACAAATGCCCTGACTTCATCTTCAGCCTTTTTCCCTCTGCTTTTAGAAGGGACCTTGCCCTTGCCAGAGGATGGGGGGTTGAGGCGAGATTTCTTCATTGGTGGTTCCTCAGCCTCCACCTCACCCTCAGTAGATCTAATAACGACCAAGGGTTGGGCATCTTCGGCTTTCTTTTTTAAAGCCTCAGCCCTCCGTATCTCCTCCTCAGTCATGGGGAAACTGTCGAAGGATGGTAGAGACAGATCCATGAGGTCTGCAGCAACAGCACTGGAGGCAATATCCTTGAGGTTTGAAGAAGTTAGCAGGTCCTCGATAGGCGAGGGGTCACTCCAGACTCGTTCCTCAAGAAAAGAAAGTCTGTTCCTTGCTGCGGAAGATGGGAATGTAGCTGAAAAAACACCAAGAAACTCATAAGTACGGCGAAACATTAAGACTTGGCAAGGAAAACAGCCAGAACACTTGGTATGAAGGAAGGTTAAGTATTCTATACCTAATTTCCCGAACTTGCGCGGGATAGGGAGCGTAATTGATTGGGGCACGAACCATTTTCCTTTAACTATAACCATCCTTTCTTTCCACTTCTTTTCGGATGAAGGAAGGTTCGTGCATATCCTCTGATGAAGGGGAGAGGTAAAAAAGAAGCGACTAGGCTCGGTCCCATGCTTAGATATATTGTAAGTAAGCAGAAGGTCGGCAAAGGTCAAATCCAGAGCCTCTAATTTCCGGCGCACCAACAGTGCCGAAAGGATGCGAAAGAAATTAGGATTTACCTGAAGGGGGGCAAGACCTAACTTGTTGAAAACTAAATGATAGAAGGGATGAAGAGGGAACAGGATGGCGTTAAGATGCCCTACCGAAAGAAGCAATTCACTCTCTTCAATTCCCTAGCCGGAGGTAAAATCGGCACCCTCGGGATATTCTGCAATTTCTACTCCCTCAGGAATATCAAATTCTTCCATTACCGAAGCAATAGAGAACTTGATGCGGCGAATAGAGATGATTGCTTTCCTCTCTTCATGAGTAAGAACATAATCAAAGCCTGAGGTGGATGTCTCGGCTGGAAGGGGGGAAGTACCTAATTGATTCAATGAAAGACGATCTGTAGAAACCCTAGGAGGGGGAGCCCTAATGCGAACGGGGGAAGATGAAGGTGTAAATTCAGAATCCCCAATGTCTATACGTTCGGGAGTAGATGAAGTACTCATAATGAAAGATTGAAGAGAAAGATGCGAAAAAAAACTAACCTGACAAAGCGATGGAATGAAGAACGCAGAAGTGCAGCAAGGGCGAATGTAACTCTTGCAAAATCTTGTATGACGAAGTAATAACGAAAGACCTCGAACCGTTTCTGAAGCAAAGTAAAAAACCGGTTTCAATTCCCTCTTTAATAGGAGCCGTCACTCAATTAAAAATAAAATTTGTGGCAAAGTGTGGAGGGAAAAAAACTCCCTCCAATAAAAAGCGCACACGTCATCACTACACATATCTACATTCCAAGGACATATAAGGCCCATCATGCTCAAGCCCAAATTGAGGGTATTTATAACCCAAGACCATTGTTATTTGTCCTCCAACCTCCATCAAGGCCGAATCAAGAGGTCATCAGCCCAACTTGTTAATATTTAACATCCGGTCCGTTACTCAAGCCCAGCCGGATCAAAATATGTTCAGCCCAGTTATTCAAGAATGCACAAGTCCTACCAATTGAAGGATTTACCGTAGAAGGAAAATTCTGAGATAGGAAGTTCTGTACAAGGCAAATTCTATGTATGGAAAATTAGACAATGGAAAAAACTCTATTAGTAAAGAATGTTTATATAGAAAGAATTGGAGGGCAAGCAACGCGAGTCCTACCATAATTTCACAATCTTTTGTATATAAATAGAGGCTTAGACCTCCAATAAAGGGATCAAGCAATTTACGCTTCTCTATACACTGTTCTTATTTATTTTTATTATTTTTTGAGTGAGTTGTTTTATTTTTCTCAATCATTATTGGTTGAGCGAAATTTTGCACCTACACTACCCAAAGCTTCATCAACACATGCATTTCTCTTGACATTCTCGGGCATGTGCGAACAAGAAGATCTAAGTAGAAATATAACAAGTAATTGCAGAGTACAAAGAAAATAAATAAAAATGAAAAAAGGTCAACTACTTGCAAAACATGTGCAATGTGAAAAACACCAGCCTCCGTCGTCGATTTGTACATAATAAATGATAAGATCGAAAGCATGAGATTTTTCTTCCAATTATAAAAGTTATTTTCCTCAAGTATAGTCATGCTACATATGAGGAAACAAAGAACATAAAAATTCCGAACAAATGCCATACCTATGCTTCAGTGTTAAAGCTATCAAACTCACTGTCAATACAAACACACAGCTTCATGTACAAACACAAGCTACTCCTTTAAAAGTAAATGTCAGTTTGCTTCGATTGTGCTTTGAGGTCCTTCAATTTCTTCAATATGTTTGTGAAATAATCCTTTAAATATTTCTCTAGTGTAATAACATCTTTTGCATCCACGCCAAGAAGTGTATACGTCTCATTCATTGGAACCGAGAAAACAATATCGCTTGAAAGAACCTGGAACCGAGAAAACAGTATCGCTCGTAAGAGAAATTCGAAAGCTAGAAAACAAATGATTTTCCGAGAGAATTATGATATCTTGCATATGGAATCGAACATAAGACAGATACTAAAAGGAGGATATAAAAATTAATTACCTCTGAAAATGCCAATCTGTCAGCAACATCATTTGTCCACTCAAAAAACCGAGTCAGTTGCCGAGTTAATCTCAAAACTGAGACAGGGACTGTAGTTACATTAGCATCTTGCCCTGCAAGCCTCTCGCACAATGTTATCACCTAAAACCAAGAAACCACCCTAACATTATTAGAAACAGATGTTTGTTGTTCAAGTTGACTCACTGAGAAGTGCAGATAAATAATGATATTACTGAACTTTTTTTCATTAAAAATAAACCACCCTGCAAACCTCTTGCACAATGCTCTTTCTTCATTTTAGCAATTTGTAGGAAGAGAGCAAAAAACTTAAAATTTTGAAACAGCTGCTCCTCCATACAATTGAATTCAATTTTTTTTTTTTTTTTTCCCTATGTGTAGACTGTGTTGTTGACAATAAAATGGATCTTAGTTGAAATATAGTAGGACATCAATACATTCAAATTATAGATTTCAAAAGGCTGAAAGAGTTAAACGTAATCAATTTTGGTAGTAAGATATCCAATTTGAGAAACAGAAAATCAAGCAAGAAAGAATTAAGAAAATTATCATTTCACTCTGAAAAAAGCATAAGATTTTCTTCTTTACCTCTTGGGTCGTCCATGCACGAGGCCCAGCAAAAGTAAGAAGCTTCCCATTAATATTCTCCTTTCGCAAAGCTATGAATGTCAGCCGAGCTATATCCTACAAAAAGGAAAGATGCATTGATTCTGTTTGCTTTCAAGAAACTTATCACTCATGAAATATGCAAAACTTACTTGTGTGTCCATGTAAGCTATTCGTGTAGGGGCATCTGTTCCCCAGACAGATTTCTCTTCTAGTATAGGTACAGCATACTGCCCGATTAGGCCCTGTACAAATTAGTAACAAGCACACTTAACATCCATTGAATAACATAGAAAGACAGTATAAGTTCCAAAAAGGGTGGTGATATTCGCGCTCCGAAGGTAACTCCCTCTTCTTACTTTTTCTTAACCAAATATTTTTCTAAATGGTGACAAACATGCCACTGGCTATCTTCAAACAAATATATTCTAGAGAAAAACTATTCAACTTGTTTGTCAAGGTAATTATGGAGTTCTTGGTTACTAATTGCAGCAAAAAACGAAGAACGTGAGAAATAGAAGAACAAAAAGAGGAAATAACCGCTAGTCAACTTGTTTGTCAAGGTAATTATGGAGGTCTTGGTTACTAATTGCAGCAAAAAAGGAAGAACGTGAGAAATAGAAGAACAAAAAGAGGAAATAACCAAAGCCAAAAATTTACAGAAATATATATAGCGAGATTATGGGAAAAACAATAGATGCAAGGATTGCCTCCGATAGAGAGGGTTAAAACTGGGATTTCCTGCATAGCAAGTTTCCTCGGCCATCAATATAACAAAAGAACCTTTACCTGGAATTTCACTAATTTTTCCACTACACAGGACTCCGTGGCGGCAAATTCACATTATTTGGATGTGGGAAGATCTTTCAAAGTGTACGATATGCTTTGGATTTTTAGGTGATGGAGAACAAGGCGCAACTCAAGAGCTAGAATCACATATGACCCCCTTATCATTGGAGAAGGGGAAAACAAAGATAGAATTAGGGATATTAGTAAACTAGGGGTTTTATTTATGCTTATGGTTATTTTTAATAATGTTTTAATTTTAGGGGTATTTTAGCACTTTATTGTTCTAGGGTTTGTTTATGTTTTGCCTATATAAAGGCTTAATGTAATCAGACAAATCAGTTTTGAGAATTATTGAATCATTACGTGAGTTTGCGAACTCTCTCTCTCTTTGTATCTCTTCCCCCTCGTGTTCTTGTTATTCTTAATCCCTCAGTCTCTCTAGCCTACCTCCTTTAGTCTAATTTCTCATCTCCTTCGTCTATTTTCTCACCTCCTTCGTCAGTCTCATCTCATCTTCTCATTCTCATCCCCTTCTTTCTTTCTAGTTACTATTAAAGCACTACTTGTCCCGTGTCAATTGGTATCAGAGCAAAACGATCAAGGTATTAGAGACCTAAAATCAGGTCAACAACCATCACCGGAAAACTCTAAAACATAAAAATACCAAAATAACCCTAAAATTCAAACATTATCAAAATAACAATAAGCATAAATAAAACCCTAAATCACTAAAATCCCCAATTTTATTTCTCTTTCCCTCCAAAAATAATGTTGAAGCATGTGCAACTTGTGTATTTGAATCATATCCCGTTCCCCATCAATTCTCCTCGGCTGAGAAGAACTCTTCCGAAGAGTAAAGCGACTCTAAATAACTTGGATCAAAGTGGCAAGACTCATCTGAAGCTGGATAATACATCCATTGTGAATCACTCTGACAATCAATAATATCCTTAATCCAATTCAAATGCTGACATGATGGGAGGACAAGTGTTGTTGCAGAAGAAAATGTAATTCCACCTGTAAAAGCACAAGCTAAAAACACAAGAGGCTCAAAGATACCTCGGTTAGGCATCAAATACTCTACATGAAAAATTGGACTAATACTATTATCTGTTCACAAGTCCAATAAACATGCATTAGGTCCAAATTTATTAACGATGTGGAAAGGACATGTTTTGTTTCCCTTATAAAACAGATTTGACCAAACTCAAATTTAAATTAAAGTTAGATTTAACCCGGCACAGGAAGTTTCAACTTGATCCAAATTCAGCCTCTCCAACTCAAGTTTGGTCCAACTTTGCTTAGTTTTGTTGGGTTGCAGCTTTAGAGATAGCCCAGGCCCGGACCACCAAAAAAAAAAAAAAGCAGGACAGATTATTTGTTTCGAATACATTGAGTTGCACATGCTTCAACATTATTTTTGAAGATGAGGGAAAGAGAAATAAAATTGGGGATTTGAGTGATTTAGGGTTTTATTTTTGCTTATTGTTATTTTGATAATGTTTAAATTTTAGGGCTATTTTGGTATTTTTATGTTTTAGGGTTTTCTTAATAATTTGTCTATTTAAAGGCTTCTTTGTAATTTGGGAACTCAGTTTTGAGTAATTAAATATTATCATTGAGTTTGCGAACTCCATTTGTGTCTTTCTCCCTCTTGTTCTTGTTGTTCTTAATCCCTCCATCTATTTATCCTACTCCTTCAATCTGATTCTCATCCCTATTCCTCTGTCTTCTCATCTCCTTCGTCTAGCCTCATCTTGTCTTTTCATTCCCATCTCCTTCTTTCTTTCTAGTTACTATGAGTAACTACTTGTCCGGCGTCAATTGATATCAAAGCAAAACGATCAAGTTCATCAGTGCAAAGTATCCAAGTAAACTAGTGATCACAATCACCACAGCCATTACAAGTACCAAAACAGGAAACCCCTTCAGCCCTAAACCATTTAATTAGTTACTGTTCACGACCTCATCTACTATTTCCATCAACCCACATAACCCAAGCAAGCCTACTGCCTTCAACTTCACCCATAACCTAGTTGAAATTCATTATCAAACCCCAACCTGAAGATCCACAAAACCCAAAGCCCACTCCACAAAACGAGTCACCGGAATCACTTCTGTATTAGTTTGGTAGCACTTGAAAAGTCACATTGTCTAAAAAATAAATAAAAAAATTAATATGAAAACATCACAGATCGTTATCCGTCACCATAGTTCACCGTATTGTCGCTGAGAATTTTTGATCCTAGCTGCCATCACTCTATAGCTTTAGTCAAGAATATCTGCTATATCTTCGTACTTGATTTTGGAGTCAAAGAATCCAGTGTGTGATTTTGGTAAGTCAACTTCAGCACAAAATTCAAGGATTGATTTTGGAAAATCCAAAGTGGTAAGTCAAATTTGGTTAATGTCAGTATCGCCACTTCAGCACAAAATTCAGGGATTGATTTTGGAAAATCAACTTTGGATTATTGCAATCTTTGAGATGGTTATTGTCACCAAAATTTCAGCGCCACTGATTTTGAAAAGTCAACTTTGGATTTTGCAATATTGTCACTAAAATTTTCTCCTTCTTGCATTGTAATTTTTCTTTCATTTTTATAATATATCCCATTCAGGAAAAATAAGTGACTGAATTTAGAAAGTCAATTTTGGATTATACCAACGGGCCGTTATCAAGGCCTTACTTCCCAAAGGGAGGTCAACAGTTCAAGCCTTAGTGGAGGCATGTGTGCATGAGTACCACCTAACAACCAAAAAAAAAAAAAATTCAGATTTGAAAATCAGAATTGGTTTGGAAATGATATATTTAGTTTCTCTTATAAACCAGATTCTACCTGCCCCAAATCAATTAAAACAATTTGACCCTGTCCAGGAAGCAAGTTCAGAACAAGGCCAACCCAGTACAACAGTGATCCAGAAACAGATAAAGAAAAGAAAAGAAACAGCAGTCAAGAGAATTGGATCAGATTGGTTTGGCCAATTCTAAAACCAGCCCAGAAACAGTTCAGCAACCTTCAACAGGAAACCAGCAGCAGAACCAAAAAAAAAAAAAAGTTCAGAAAATTATTCCAAAGTGGGATTGATCAAATTCAGCTTTTGGAGAAACTTTTTGGAGCTTTCTTTGTTTAGATAGCTGCATTGGACTTCGGTAAAGGTAAACCTACTTCACTTGAAAATTGAATTTATTAGCCATGATATGGTAAGTCACAACCCATGATTTGTGCCCCCTATCATATCATGGCTAACACTCCCCCTCAAGTTGGTGCATGGATGTTGAAGGTGCCTATCATATCATGGCTAACATAATTCAATACTTCTATCTGTTTAAAGTCCATAAATTTGCAAGAAAGTCCTGACTTAAACTGAAAATCATTATTTCTTGACCTATTAAACTTCAGTACCTCACTGCCATTTGTTGTTCGTCACCACTACCACTAAATTCTGCACATTATTGCACTTATCAAAAAAAAAAAAAAAATTTATTCTGCCCATTTTTGCCATGCTCTCCTGCATTTCAATTTCTACTATGAGCATCATGGTATTTTATAATTTTGGGTTACTTGATTCAATTTGAGTAATATATCAGCATTCCTTTATTATCCATTGTCATTATTCATAATGAGAAAAACCAGTTTCACAGAGGGTCTAGTCCATAATTATGCTAGGAGACCTCAAGTTGTTCAACCACATTGAGTCTTAGAATGCAAGTATCCTCAACCTAAGCAATTAAATGTCATGAATAAAATTGGACCAATCCATAACCACACAGGAAATTGGAAAGAAGATCAGTCCATCAATAAAGTCTTGACAAGTGTTCCATCCATTCTTTTGGAAAAGGATGATTGGAGAAGAACCAATCTATTTCACACATATCTCCAATGCGGAGATAAAGTCTGCAAAATCATCATTGACAAGGAAGGTCCAGTAAATGTGGTATCAAAATTAGGTGTTAATAGAATGAAACTCAAACCAGAGCCTCATCCACAGCCATATAGAGTGGCTTGGGTAGGAGAAACTTCCTTGTTGGTCTCTGAGAGGTGCCTAGTCCCAATTCAAATGTGTGACTATTCTGGTATGATTTGGTGTGATGTTTTACCAATGAATGCATCTCACGTGCTACTTGGTCACCCATGGATCTATGATTTATGAGTTAACTCATTGTTGTAGAGAGAACACATATAGCTTCAAGTATAATGGTATAAATATCAAGTTAAATCCCGCAAAGCCATTAGAAAGGGACTCTAAGGCACAAAGAACTTCCCCTCAGCCTTGTGTTGACCAAATCATGTTAGCAAAAGAAACGGCAAAAGAAGTTGTCCATGTTCCATTTGAAAAAGTGTGTAATTCTCAACCACCTGAATCTAATGTCCCACATCATCCCATCCTAGACAATCATGTAGAGGATGTTAGAAGTCATGACACACCACTTCTATAGTTTCAGATAAGGACGTTAAATATGCAAGCTATTTTTGGGAAATACTTTGGAAACTTTTAGGGGTTAATTTTCAGATTTCTTCTGCATTGCATTCTTTGATTGATGGGTAAGTTGAGACCGTTAAGCGAAATCTTGCAAAGTTGATTCAGTGTCTTGTGGGAGCACATGTAGATATTGGGAACTCATTGTTGCCGCTTATGGAGTATGTCTATCTTTGTCTGGTCAATTGACAGTTGTCCTACTGAGGTTATATATGATTGTCTTCCTCGTCACTCCATTGACCTTAAACCGATATCTTCATATGCTTGTTCATTTAAGATCTCTGATTCCTTTGTTGAGTATGTCCATGAGCTTCATGCCTATATAAGATCACGAATTGTTTTAAGTAATAAAAATTATAAATTTATTGCATATGCTCATCACAGGAATCATAAATTCTTGGAAGGAGATCATCTTATAATTTTTTTACCACAACCACATTAACCTTATAACTCCTTCAATTCATTGGCATCCCAAGGCATTCAACATTTCCACTTCGCTAATAAGTTTGGACCTAATGCATGTTCATTGGACTTGTCAACAGATAATAGTATTAGTCCAATTTTTCATGTGGAGTATTTGATGCCTAACCAAGGTATCTTTAAGCCTCTTGTGTTTTTAGCTTGTGCTTTTACACGTGGAATTACATTTTCTTTTGCAACAACACTTGTCCTCCCATCATGTCAGCATTTGAATTGGATTAAGGATATAATTGTCAGAGTGATTCACAATGGAAGTATTATCTAGCTTCAGACGAGTCTTGCCACTTTGATCCGAGTTATTTAGAGTCGCTTTACTCTTCGGAGAAGAGTTCTTCTCAACCGAGGAGAATTGATGGGGAATGGGATATGATTCGAATACATGAGTTGCACATGCTTCAACATTATTTTTGGAGAAGAGGGAAAGAGAAATAAAATTGGGGATTGTAGTGATTTAGGGTTTAATTTATGCTTATTGTTATTTTTGATAATGTTTCAATTTTAGGGTTATTTTGGTATTTTTATGTTTTGGGGTTTTCTTAATACTTTGCCTATTTAAAGGCTCCTTTGTAATTTGGGAACTCAGTTTTGAGTAATTGAATATTATCGTTGAGTTTGCGAACTCCCTTTGTGTCTTTCTCCCCGCTTGTTCTTACTGTTCTTAATCCCTCGGTCTCTCTAGCCTACCTCCTTCAGTCTGATTTCTTATCTTCTTCGTCTATTTTGTCACCTCCTTCACCAGTCTCATCTCATCTTCTCATTCTCATCCCCTTCTTTCTTTCTGGTTACTATCAAAGCACTACTTGTCCTGCGTCATTAGGATTAGATAATTGTTCTTTCCTTCATGATTTGGAGATTTTTGGCATGGCATGACATTTTAAAGTAAGACAAAGGTTAGAAGAAATGTGGATTTTAATTCCAGAATTTTCTTCTAGAGAGAACAACAGGGTACTTACCGCACACACACAGATTATGACATGTTCTACCCTGGGGAAGGAGAACATTGAGGAAGGGAATGGAAGGAAGAGGTATATTTGAGAAGAATCGTAGTTTCAGGTTTTCTTTCTTTTTTCTTTTTCTGAGTTAAGAATTTTTGTTGCTATAGCACACAGAAGGTGAATATTCAGAAGATGAAATCACCTAATATCAAATGTCAAGCATCAAAGTCATGAAAAAGAATCAGAAAAAAGCATGTCCGGATACTTAAATTTGGGGAATGAAGAGCACCTGCATGAAGCCACATAATCGAATGATGATGTGGTTTATGCCCGAGTCCTGAAGAAACTTCTCAGTGCAATATTTTATCTCCATCAGCGGAACTTCAGGATGCTTGTCACAGTTGTGGATGGAAAAAAATATAAACTTCTGGATTCCCATTGCTTTTGCACATTGTATAAGCGCAACTTTTCCTTCCCAATCTACCTAAATTGAAGCAGTGAATTGAATAAAACTGGAATGCTATAATAGAAGATAATAAAGAAGAGATACAACTAAAGAAAAATATATGCAACAAGGAAATAAAGATGTAAGAACTTCATAAAGCTCCAGAGTCAACTCTAAAAGGAAACTCTAAAAATTGTTCCAAGGATGTTTTTTGTTCAGAAAGATAGCAAACATCACACAGGAGGGGATACTTACAGTTTTTATGGGCTCCTCTGGACGCCCTGTAGCACAGTCGATGACAGTATGAATACCAACCAATGTTGCGGGTATTGTCTCAGGTTTGCTTAGATCTGCCTGCTCAGAAACACTGTAAATTTTAATGCTTGAACTCCAAAATATTAAGGTAATATATATGTATACATAGGTATAGCAATAGATAACTCATAGTGTGCAACAAAGTCCACAAATGATTGGATATACAGATAAATTCATGTAGATAAATGAAGCAGAACATGGAATTCTACAACATTTACATACCAAAAATGTTGCAAAGTTGGACTTACATCTCTAGAGAGGGTGAAAAAACACCTAAACCAATTGAGTGGACTGCTAACCTATGACAAGAAAATCATATCATATACCCAATTTATATATAACCTCTCAAGGTGAGCAATTAACCATTCTAAAGATAATATGAAGATCTCATGATCTGGAAATAAGCACCATCTAACCAGGAATCAGGACCAATCAGCCCAACTTAAATTAAGTCATTTGTACACGACTTGTGAGGAATTAGATTCGAATTAATTTTGCCAGCTTAATTTAGCAGACACCTCCGAAAGTGAAGCAAAGGTGAAATTCATATGGAGGGACTAATCAGTTGGTGAGTACAGCAACATCATTAACTACAAAAATAAAGTACAAGTTTCATGAAGCAAAGTGTCAACAAACATAGTAAAAGGGGTTGTCTAATAACCATATAAAGTGTTATGAACCGAAAAGGTGCGATGATGTGGCCCAAATTTTGTTTTAGGCCTTTTTTTCTTTCTTTTTTATTTTTTAATCCATTTTCTCTTGTGGATTGTGGACCCGGGTCTAGAACTCTCTTGTAGCCCAGTATAAAAGGGTGCTCTAGGATTGAGGTGTGTATTGAAACTTGAGAGAACACTGATGGCTGCAGTTGAAGAAGGTTTGGGGGCTGAAACTTGTAATATCCTATTCTTCACATAATGAAAATCACCAATGACTGTAATCTAGTAGTATCTCCTCTACCTCCCACATTATAGGGACAAATGGGTGTACGACTTTCTTGCCAAAATAATTAAATAAAAAAAAAAAAAAAAAAAAAAAAAAAAAAAAGAAGAAGAAGAAGAAGAAGAAAGGACATAGTGAAATATTTTGCCGAATCTTCAATGTGGACGTAGTCTTTACGCCAAGTAAATCATAGAGTTCTTTGTGCGTTACTTTTATGTTGATTACTTGATTGTGATATTGGTTCCCTGTATTTGTCCCAACAAAAGGGTCTAAATTCCAAGCTTTTACTGTGAGTTTTAAACAAAATTACCCTTAAATTTGCAATTCTAATAAACCATCCCAAAACTTTTAGAGCAACACTAATTCAGTACTAAATACTTTTGGGTGCTGAATTTTCAATTCTCACAGTAAGCACCAAATTTAAAGAAGTACCACAATTTACGATCAATCACCTTAGAATATTTGACAAAATCATCAAAGTCTAAACCGGAATGAAATCAAACAGATGATATCATTTAAAGTAATCAGTGTAAAGACCCAAGAGCACAAATTGAGGTTGGGGGAGCTAGCTTACATTGACTACAGTCGCACCCCAATCCCGAAGAAAGTCTGCTGGAGCCGGTCTGGGCCTCACAAGGCACCTCACCTCATAGCCCTCGTCGAGAGCCCGCCTCACCACCTGCCGGCCTAGGGTTCCGGTGGCACCGACGACCAGTATGTTAGTCGGCCTCACAGGAGTCCCCGGAGCAAGATTCGCTGCCTGAGCACTACATTTCACAGCTTTTTGCGTACAAAATCTGCCTGATAAACAACAATAAATGCTATAAATGGTTTAAATCAATGCTAGGGTTTACAAACATAAGAATTGGGAATTATATATTGGATACCTGTGGAAGACGAAGAGAGTGAAGAAATGAGAGCGTCCGGAGCTAATGTGCGCCGCCATGTAAGTGTGCTGTGGCGAGTACAGGATTTGGTCTGACGACGCTGGTTGAATTTGGCGGGAGTGGCTAGCTGTGTTGGAAGCAAGGACGCCATTCTCTCTAACTGTACATATGTGTATACAGTTATAGAGAGAGAAGAGAGGAGACTGGGTGGAGTGGAAGAAGAACAATAGATCTAAATGGTGCCACGTCTACCTTAAATGGATTACACATCCAGTCCAGCTCCAGCTCAGCTAAATTTTACTTTATTAAACAAAATATTAAAATATTTTAATTGTGTGTTTTTTGGTCAATATAATACTCGATTTTCTTGTTAAAAAATATATATATAAATAAAAAAAATAAAAAACTTGATTTTCTTAGATTGATTTTTTATTTACTTTTTCATGAAAATGTCATGTAAAATGGAGATGGAAATGAAAAATGTACACAAACGGGTAGGCTGCCACTTGGGTGGGTTGGGCGGGCTTGGCACTCGTCTCGGGCTAGGCCCAAGCCTAGCTTAAGCCCGCCTTAAGCCCGAGCCGAGTTGCCCAAGCCTAGCCCACTTCAGAAGAATTTATGTGTAAAAAATAAATCAACTTATGCTGCAATTATGACTTGAACCTAAATCCTTAAGCATAAATTCTAAGCATACTACCAACTTGACTACTACATTCTTGTGACTTATAATTATAAATATTTTTGGACTCGGATTGGGCTTTGAGCATCATCCATATCAACCCAAACCCAACCTAAATTGAATTCGGGCTCAAATTATATAGCCCAAGCCCAAACTAAAAATAAAAAAACATTGCCCAAGCCCACAAAATTTCGGGCTAGGCTCGGGTTATTTCGGGTTGGGCCTGCCTGAATTGCAACCCTACAAACCGGTCCATTATTATTCAAAATTTGTTTGTGTCTTATAAAAAGAATTATCATTAAAATTTAAATATATCTTAATATTCTTTAAAATATATAAGGTATAAATAAATATTTATCCTTTATGTTCTTAAAATTTTTAATTTTATAATTAGAAAAATAAGAAAATAGGAGAAATTGTAAAAATTCTCATGCACTTTCAAATTTCTGTAATAAGGAGTGCTAAACACAGTCGCACAAGCGACTGTGCATTCATAGTCGCACATCTGACTGGTTGAAAAACTCAATTATAGAAGTTGTAATTAATGTTTTTTCCCTATTTTTTTAAAACTATAAAACTTCAACTTTTAAGACCAAATTATCCTTTTATATTTCTTCTTTTTTTTCTATCCTGTTTATATATATATATATATGCTCACCGTGTCCGTTTGAATGATTTCTCACTGTTTTTCCCTCTTCTTTAGATAAAAAGAGAGAGAAAAAAAAAATTATGTGAATTGATTGCCTTTTTCCTTCTTTCTTCTTCTTTTTTTTTTATTTTTTTTATTTTTTATTTTTTTTCTCCAATCTTTCATTATATATAAATATTAGTTAACCATACTGTGAATAGATTGGGAAACCATACTTCTCTTATTTCATATATTAACTAAAACTCAAATTTTATAATATTACTTCAATTAAAACTCAATTTCATACCGTTATTTCAATTAAAATACATAAAATCCAATAAAAAAATCCATCAAGGTGGAATATATATATATATATACAGAGAGGCTCTCAAGCGGTCCAAATAAACAGACCTTTGAACGGTCCTAAGTGGGACCATCCTTACTTGGGTAATGCTACACGAATACGACTGCAACTCCTCCACACAGCTGCCATGGGCGAAGATGGATGAGAGAGAAAGTAGAGAGAGATACGGCATGATATGACTGCAATAGCTCCTCCATACCATCGGCCACCAACCACCATCCTCACCCCAAACTACCGCTACGATCCCCACCCTAACAACACCCATTACCCACAATCAAAATCGACAAAAAAATATACCGCCACAAATCCAACACCACCATCGGCGATCTCCCCACTCTCCTTTCTCTAAACCCCTACAAAAACAAATACAAATTCAAACCCAAAACTTCACCCCCAAAATTTCACCCATTTTCCTATTACCAGCCACCGTCAAATTCTTCTCCTTGGGCATTCAATTAACTGCCCAAAACCATCAGTGGAAGAATTGAAAAACCTTAACTTTAATAGAATTTTTAAATGGGTTCCCGGATATGATGGAGGACGGTGGTGATGTTTTTGGTGGTTGTTGTGCACTAATTTTTTCATCTTGCCACGTTGCTCCATCTTCGTCGACAAATTGAAACAGAGCTGCAAAGATGAATGACGCCGACTAACAAGAAATTTACCGGCGAGGAAATGGACCTGCCTTTCCCGGGATATGATGGAGCACGGTGGTGCTGTTTTTGGTGGCTGTTGTGGACTGATTTCTTCATCTCATCTTCAACTCTGGTATGGGTTTTTCATTATTGTTATGGGTTATGTGAAGCAATAGTAAAGAAGAAGAACACGAATGGGAAAAGAAAAGACAAGTGAAAAGGTTGCCACGTGGGAGTCGGGATGGTCCCACTTAGGACCGTTCAAAGGTCCGTTTGTTTGGACCGCTTGAGAGCCTCTCTGTATATATATATAAAAGACAAGTGAACAAAACGAAAAAAAAAAAAAAAAAGAAGTAAAGAATGAAGTATAACCATATATATCCAATCAGGGAAGAAAGAAAAAAAAGAAGACAATTGTTAAAAATAAAGTTAAATATATGTAATAAAGGAAAGAAGGAAGGTTTTTAGGTATAAAGAAAGAGGAAATAATTTAAAAGGATAATTTGTTCTCAAAGTTGAAGTTTTATAATTTCAAAAAAAAGAAAAGAAAGAGTCATTAATTACAACTTTTATAATTGAATTTTTCAACCATACGACTGTGCTAAACCTCAGTGAATATTAAGGTTTAGCACTCCTCGTTTGTAATTAATCTACTAAAATATTAATTTTGTAAGAAATGTCATAAACTTTATAAAAACCCAATAAATATTCCCCCATTATCTGTTTGCCATTAAGATATTAAGGGCACCTTGTAACGTACAACACTGGCGCAACTCAATACAGTAAAACGATGAACTTTAAAGAATTAAAATTAGAGTACATAAAATAAAATTATATACAATAATTATTATGCGGAAGAAATTTTATTTTTTTTGTTCATTTTAACCAAAACCTTACCCACTGGGTTATTCAAGAATTATGCTATTAGTATGAGTTTGGGGAATTCTTTTGATATACTTGGATAGTGGGAAGCTTATTTATTTATTTGCTCTTATTTTATGGCATTCATAAGAACTATTTGTAGGCTTATTTATTTATTTATTTATTTTGGATATTTGTAGCTCATAAAGTTTTGGAGCATTATTATTTCTATTATTATATTTATGAATATTTATGTGCACATATGATATTATGAATTTTGAGTCTTGTGAGGAGATATAAATTTTTCCAGATTACAATTATATTTAGCATATTGTTAAGGCTAAATTTTTATTATGCATCATGTTATAAGGTTCTTTAAAAACATAAAGATAAAAGGCATGGTTGTCTTGTATTAAAGACATAAAGGCTTTTGGTTTAAACCATAAGGGGTTTTGTGAAAAACCATAAAGTTGGATTGTTATGGATATAGCATAAACAATCACTTAAAGATGATATTTCAATGTATACCATATTTGTTGGGGATCCATGTGAATGATGGTGTTAGAGTTGTGGTCTGTGACAGCCCAAGTTTTGCAACCTGGTGCATCACTGATGAACCGAACGTTGACCCGGTAACGGGTCCGAGATGCGGAAGCGAAAGATAAAACCATAGTCTTTAGAGATATGGATCATCCCTAAGACACCAATGTGACCTTCCATGAAATCACGGAACTAAAAGAGAGCGAAAGAGCAACCGAGGGTCAAAACGAGCAAAATCCGTTAATCAGGGGCAAAATGGTCAATTTGCAAATGAGAAGGGAGATTTGACTTTAAGCAAGTCAAATAAGGTCTATACAACCTAATCTAATCATTTCACAACATTCCAAGAGGTTCTAAGAACTTTAGCCAAGAATCCCACAAAATCCCCTTTCCCTGTTCAAGCAAAATCTGATACTGTCTCACTAAAATATGAATAACTCCCACTGTGATTTGAATCTAAGAATGACGTAGGTGCCATTGGAAAGTTGACTCAAAATCTTTGAATTTAGGCTCAAGAATCACCCTATTTGGATTAGAAATGAAGAAGTTATGACCGTTTGAAGTTAGAGAAATAAAGCTGAAACAAAGTCATTTAGGTAGGCCGAAATGGTCATTTTGGTAGACCGAAATGAGCAGAAAAATAACCCAAAAGCTGATTTTGAGGAAAAGCTACTTCGCTCTGCCGAAATGTAGAACCGGTCAACCGAAACAAGCCAAAACCGTACCTAAGCTACCGGAATATGCACTTAAGCTATTCAAATGAAATCCTAAAGCCACCAGTCGACCGAAATGGTATTTTGGTCAGCCAAAATGACTCGAAAAAGTGCAAAAACTGTTATTGTCGTGACCCAAGTTTTTCAATCCGGGGCGTCAATGATTACCTGAAAGTTAACCCGATAACGGATTCAAAATGCGAAAGCAAAGACGAAACGAAAGTCATTTGAGACATAAATTATCTCTAAGACACCAACGCGACATCCCATGAAGCCACGGAACTCAAGAAAAATGATTGAGGAAACTAGTGTCAAAACGAGTTAAATCCGTTTATTAAGGCCAAAATAGTCAATTCACAATTAAAAAAGGGGAGAATTGACTCTAAACAAGTTAATTAATACAACTTAATCAAATCATTTCACAATATTTCAAGAGGTTCCAAGAACATTGGCCAAGAATCCCACAAAATGCCCATTCCCGGTTTAAGCGAAAACTGACACTATCCCACTAAAACATTAATAACTCCCACTGTGATTTGAATATAAGAATGGCATTGGTACCATTAGAAATCTGACTCAAAATCCTTGAGTTTAGGCTCAAGAATCACCCTATTTGGGTTAGAAACAAAGAAGTTATGATCGTTTGAAATTAGAACTTCAGTGTTGAAACATAACAGAGAGACTGTGAGAATATATGCTATTTCGGTCGACCGAAATAGAGTTTCTGATGATCAAACTGGACAGAATACTTTCTAAAGACATGTTTTTAAGGTTTAGTTGGTTCGGTAGACCGAATTGAGGC